AGTGTCAGAACACGTTATTTCTACAGCTAAACATACTGTACTACAGTGGCTTACAATGTGCATTTATGCTTAGTTATTACAGCAATGAACATTATACATTTATTCTACTGGGAACTGGAAAATAAGCTTCATTGTGTCTTTGTGTTGAATTTTCAGCTTAATTATGTAAGTAATATTTTTATGAATTAACAGAAATGCAACATCATTTAATGAAAAGGCAAGATGGATAGCACAATGGAACATATGTTTTATCTTCAATTCTATCTTAGATTATGTACCATATATTTGATTATACTGTATTTCCTCTGGAAACACAGGAGAATAACAAAATCTTGACTATAAATATACCTGAATTAGATATTGTATAAAACATGTATTTCATAATGTACACTTTGTGCTGTTAACGGATAATAATGGTGTAATCCTTTCTTTAGTCATTTTAATTACTAAAGAAAGGATTACACATAAAAATAAAAAGAATGTTAGAGTAATCTACAGTCAACATACAATCAGTTTTTGAGTGAATATAAATTAAGTGTAAACATCAACTGTAAGCCAATGCTCTAGGCTAGTTCGTTCACATTAGCCCCAAACCTATCTCCAGCTGTAAGTGCTGGTTCCATTCGCAACCAAGATTATTGTACAGAAAGACGGATGACCACACTCTGAGTTGCTGAAGATCCAAAAAGGTTATTGTAGAAATTGATCATCAAAGTATAATCACAGCTCCTGAAAAACAGGCACAGGCATTAATGAGGTTCAAGCTGGAAAACACTTAATCATAACAACGTGTTATGATTAAGTGCTTTCCAGCGTGAAACATGTTAATACCTGTGCCTGTTTTTCAGGAGCTGTGAGTTTGCTTTTACGATCGATTTTTACAATACAATGCCTGTGCCTGTCTTTGAGGAGATGTGAAGTTTGTTTTTATGATTGATTTCTACAATAAAGTTTTTGGATCTTCAGCAAGTCAGAGTGTGGTCATCCATCTTTGTCTATAAATAAATTAGGTGTACATTTATTTAAATGTAACACTTCATGCGGAAAATGACAATAAACAATATTCCTATTCTTTCAAAAATAGATTACAGGGTCAGTAGTGGATGTGTGGGCTATTTTGTATTACATTGATTCCAACTGTGTTTTTCTGCCTCCGTGACCTTTCTCCCCCTCGCTCCCTGTTGTTCGGAATGAGCAGTACATGTTAGTTGAGGTCATGTGCACTGCCCTATGCACGCTTCAAATCCCATAGTCCATAAACCATCTCAGGAGTGAGCATATACTATATGTTCCTATGTATAGTGGGGCAATGGAGAAGGAACAAAAGCACAAAATTCTGATCATAGCAGCAACAACAACAAAAAAAGGAATTTGGAGATTTGGAGGAGGCTGAAAGCAATGGAAAGGAATTCTTTGAGTTAAAGAGGTTCTAAAGGAATAAGGGTGCAGCTTCCCCCCACCCCCAGAACCCCCTTATGCTTAACCCATCTCAATCCATCAATGTGTATGAGAACAGTGGCTCTCCTGGGTCTCTTTCTCCTCATCCTTTCCTGCATATATTGGCCCCATTCATATACTGTGCAGTTCTCTCCTGCACACACTGCTTGCTAATATACCCTTGGCAGTCCTCTCTCGTGCATGCTGGCCTCTATTATATGCTTTATAATTCTCTCCTGCACACATTGCCCATTTTCATACCTTTCACAATTTTCTCCTGCACACATTTCACACCCTCTGTACTCTAACTGCATATACTGCCTGCTACCATGCCATTTGCATTTATTTTCTGCACATATTTTCCACTGCAATACTCTACATATGTCTTTTATGCAAATATTGGTTATTATGGATATTATTGTTGGTTGTTATAAAAAAAAAAAAGTCTGAAAATGGGTGGAATGGAGACTAGCAAGCAAGCATGGTTGCTGCTGATACAGAAAATGAAATTAAAAAAGCACAGTAAAGTCTATAGCAGCGGCCACTAAATGGTGGACCACGGTCCGAGTACGTCCCCAGCAGCTCTCCTTTCTGGACCGCCAGCCGGCAGTGACAGATCAGCCGTTGAGCAGGGCGGTCCTCATGGCAACATAGACATCAAGTGCATGCCTCGCCCCTTGCAGCTTGCTGTCTCTCCAACTCCAGCTCCCTGCCTGTACACAAGCATTCTTCAGCAAGGATCCCGGAGCAGCTCCTGTCTGCCCTCAAGGTAGGGTGTACTCTTACAGGGGCACTCTGATGGGCACATTTAAAGTTAAAGGACCGTGCTGATGGACACATTTAATGTTAAGATGCACCCTGAAGGGCACAACAGAGTGCCCCTTAACATACAATGCACCCATCAGAGTGTCCCTTAACATAAAATGTGCCCATCAGCATGACCCTTATTTTATGTTAAAGGCGCTTTGGCAGGCACATTTTATGTTAAGGGACTCTCTGATGGGCATCTTTTATGTAAAGGAGGCATTCTGATGGGCACATGTTATGTTAGGGGGGCACAAATGGGCACATACTGTGGAAAGGGGCATTCTGATGGGCACATGTGATGGAAAGGGGCAGTCTGATTGGTGTATGTGATAGAAAGGGGCATTCGGATGGGGAAATATGATTGAAAGGGGTTCTTTGAGTGTAAGGGGGCACTCTGATGGGGATACCTGATGTAAGGGGGCACTCTGATGGGAATGCCTGATGTAAGGGGGCACTGTGATGGGGATACCTGATGTAAAGTTGCACTCTGATGGTGACACCTAATTTAAGGGGACACACCCTCATCGGACCTCAGCCAGAAGAGAATTTTAGTGACTGGACCTTCTTGAATTTTAATTCAATACCCCTGGTCTATAGAATTATGCACACAGGGGTATGTACCTCACCACACTGCAATCTTCTGTATAGTACTGGATACCACTTTAGAGCACAGTATAGCCGGGTATCTCACACTACACAGATTTGTCAGTTTTCTGTGACCAGCTCCAAAACAGACTAACAATATGGCAGCAACCCTTTTATAGTGAGAGGGCTGGATTCACCATTCTATTATTTGTTCTCAAGAACCCATCTCACAAGAGACAAGGGTAATGCAGTGCATTGTGAGTTCTGGCAACATTTTCATCATAAACTGAGTTTTACCAAAACTCGTAATCATGAGAAACACTTGATATCCAAGGTGCCTCTGAAATGAAACTTCATCCCTAGCAGGGGTGAGGTTCAGGTTTGTCACTGCCATGGGTTCATGGCAAATTCCTGGGATTTATGAAGTTCAACAAATACTGTTTTGCAAAGGAACAAGCTAAATTGCAGTGCACATCCTTTGCTCTTGGTCAGCTGAATCACACAAGTCAAAAATCTGAAGGAATTGATATCCCCGCACCTGTCTTTAAAAAGGTTAGCTTGCAGCAGCCATAATGGTAGTGTGCGTTACAGCTGTTATGAAGAGCTGATGATTCTGTGTAGGTAGAGATCCCTTTTTTTTAGCATTGGTCCTCTATGGTAGTATCCAGTTTCCTATGCCTTGTGTTTGGCAACAGCTTACTTATTAGCCCTGAATAACGAGATTCATGGTTTCTAAGCACAGTTTTCAAAATTCAGACTTTGAACAAGATTAGAGATGAGCGAAGTATTCAAAAATTCGATTCGACTGATTCGGCGAATTCGTGGACAATATTCGATTCGAGTCGAATATATTCGCTGTGAATTTAACTTAAAAAAGGGTGTTTCTAGGCTTCAGAGAGACTTAATATTAGTGCAGAACACTGTACCTTTAATTTAAATGCCCTTGGAGTCTGCTGGGGAAGAGAAATAATACTGTCAATCAGTATGACATCCAGATGAGTGCCGTCGATCTTAGAATCACCGCACACTTCACTCATTTGGCCAGTCACGGGGCCAAAACCAGAGTGTGGAGCCACAGTGTGGCGGTGGAGGCAGCAGCAATGGGAGGCCATACAGCAACCTATGACAAAATGGAAACCAGCAGGAGTGTGAGGAGACCTCAAAGTGGCACATGGCAGAGTGGGAGCAATGGGAGGCGGTACAGGGACCCATGTCACACTGTGGACCCAGCAGCAGCGTGACGAGGCGGTACGGGGGCCCATGGCAGATTTGGGGCCTGGCAGCACCTATGGGAGGCCTGTAATCTGCCAGCAACCTATGACAAAATGGAAACCAGCAGGAGTGTGAGGAGACCTGAAAGTGGCACATGGCAGAGTGGGAGCAATGGGAGGCGGTACAGGGACCCATGTCACACTGTGGACCCAGCAGCAGCGTGACCAGGCGGTACGGGGGCCCATGGCAGATTACAGGCCTGGCAGCAGCAATGGGAGGCCCGTAATCTGCCAGCACCCTATGACAAAAAAATGGAACACACACACCAGCAGTGTGTGAGGAGACCTGAAAGTGGCACATGGCAGAGTGTGGCGATGGAGACAGCAGCAATGGGAGGCCGTACAGGGACCCATGAGAGACTCTGGACCTGGCAGCAGCATGAGGAGGCGGTATATAGGGGCCCATGGCAGATTAGGGGCCTGGCAGCAGCTATAGGAGGCCCGTAATCTGCCAGCACCCTATGACAAAAAATTGAACACACCAGCAGTGTGTGAGGAGACCTGAAAGTGGCACATGGCAGAGTGTGTGTGGCGATGGAGACAGCAGCAATGGGAGGCCGTACAGGGACCCATGAGAGACTCTGGACCTGGCAGCAGCATGAGGAGGCGGTATAGGGGCCCATGGCAGATTAGGGGCCTGGCAGCAGCAGCAGCTATGGAGGCCCGTAATCTGCCAGCACCCTATGTCAAAAAATTCAACACACCAGCAGTGTGTGGAGACCCTGAAAGTGGCACATGGCAGAGTGTGGCGATGGAGACAGCAGCAATGGGAGGCCGTACAGGGACCCATGACAGACTCTGGACTTGGCAGCAGCATGAGGAGGCGGTATATAGGGGGCCCATGGCAGATTAGGGGCCTGGCAGCAGCTATGGGAGGCCCGTAATCTGCCAGCACCCTATGTCAAAAAATTCAACACACCAGCAGTGTGAGGAGACCTGAAAGTGGCACATGGCAGAGTGTGGCGATGGAGACAGCAGCAATGGGAGGCCGTACAGGGACCCATGAGAGACTCTGGACCTGGCAGCAGCATGAGGAGGCGGTATAGGGGCCCATGGCAGATTAGGGGCCTGGCAGCAGCTATGGGAGGCCCGTAATCTGCCAGCACCCTATGTCAAAAAATTTAAACACACCAGCAGTGTGAGGAGACCTGAAAGTGGCACATGGCAGAGTGTGGCGATGGAGACAGCAGCAATGGGAGGCCGTACAGGGACCCATGAGAGATTCTGGACTGGCAGCAGCATGAGGAGGCGGGTATAGGGGCCCATGGCAGATTAGGGGCCTGGCAGCAGCTATGGGAGGCCCGTAATCTGCCAGCACCCTATGTCAAAAAATGGAACACACCAGCAGTGTGAGGAGACCTGAAAGTGGCACATGTTTGGGGCATGATTCATGGCGGATTTAGTCAGTTGTGTCAGGAACTGGTGGTTTGTAATCCAGACTAATCCACGCCTGATTCATTTTCACAAACGTGAGTCTCTCCACACACTTTGGGTGGACAGTCGTGTCCTGGCGGAGTTGCAATACCCGTCCTCTGCCGCACTAAACACGCGCTCCGATGCCACGCTACTGGCCGGGCATGACAGCCTTTCAAGGGCAAATTCAGCTAGTTGGGGCCAAAGGTCAAGTTTCGTTGCCCAGTAGTCAAGGGGATTGTCTACCTCGGTTGGCAGGGTGCTGTCCAAGTAGGCCTAAGCCTGTTGTTTGAGGTCCTGCTCCAGGTCCACCTGATGCTGCTGCTGCTGCTGCTGCAGGGCTGGTTATTAGTTTCCTCCTCACTGCGCTGGTGAAGAAAGCTACTCATCATCGACTGCAGACTGAGGCAGCTGCTGCTGGTGGAGCTGCCACTGCTCACACCCCAGAGTGCTGCCATGGCAGCGCAGAACGCGAGGCGCACAGGGCCCACAGTGTCTGAGGATGGACGTTGGCGCAGACAGGCAGAGACCAACTGACTACATAGGTGGTTTTTTTATGGTACGTTATTTTGGCCTCCCTCTCAGCAGGTGTGAAAAAGGCCACCATTTTGGAACGGGTAGCAAAAAATTCAAACAAGGTGGACAGCCAAAAAGTCATCCCTCTGTCTGATGGTTATTATTCGGCTGTCGGTACGCAAGCAAGCGAGCATGCTATGGGCCATTTGTGCCAAGGAATGCGAGGGACTCCCTGCCTCCATCTCCACAGCATACTGCCACGGTGCGTCTGGGTCCTCTGTCTCCTCTTCCTCCTCCTCTACCAGATGCTCCTGCTCCTCCACTCCTGTCCGCTGAGTGGAAAAAAACCACCCATTTCACTCAATAATTCCTGAGCACCAATGTCCTCCTCTACCTCCTCCTCTTCTTCCTGTCCTGCCCCCACAGGGGTCATGTGGCGTTGAGATCTGTGCGCCACGTCTACCGCAACCTGACCAGCCATTATTAACAGCATTTGTTCCAGGACGTGCAACAGAGGAATGACGTCGTTCATCCCATAGTCCTGCCGACTCACGAATAGCGTGGCCTCCTCAATGGGCCTGAGCAAGCGCAATCTGTCACGCATGAGTGCCAAAAAATGGCTGACATCTAAGTTACACAGGGAGTACCTTTATCCAACATCAGGAAATCTGTGGCGATGGCCTTTTGCTGTTCGTAAAGGCGGTCTAACATATGTAGGGTTGAATTCCACCTTGTTGCAACGTCACAGCATGAGGAGGCGGTACGGGGGCCCATGGCAGATTAGGGGCCTGGCAGCAGCATGGGAGGCCCGTAATCTGCCAGCACCCTATGTCAAAAAATTCAACACACCAGCAGTGTGTGAGGAGACCTGAAAGTGGCACATGGCAGAGTGTGGCGATGGAGACAGCAGCAATGGGAGGCCGTACAGGGACCCATGAGAGACTCTGGACCTGGCAGCAGCATGAGGAGGCGGTATATAGGGGGGCCCATGGCAGATTAGGGGCCTGGCAGCAGCTATAGGAGGCCCGTAATCTGCCAGCACCCTATGTCAAAAAATTCAACACACCAGCAGTGTGTGAGGAGACCTGAAAGTGGCATGGCAGAGTGGCGATGGAGACAGCAGCAATGGGAGGCCGTACAGGGACCCATGAGAGACTCTGGGACAGCAGCATGAGGAGGCGGTATAGGGGCCCATGGCAGATTAGGGGCCTGGCAGCAGCTATGGGAGGCCCGTAATCTGCCAGCACCCTATGTCAAAAAATTCAACACACCAGCAGCAGTGTGTGAGGAGACCTGAAAGTGGCACATGGCAGAGTGTGGCGATGGAGACACAGCAGCAATGGGAGGCCGTACAGGGACCCATGAGAGACTCTGGACTTGGCAGCAGCATGAGGAGGCGGTATATAGGGGCCCATGGCAGATTAGGGGCCTGGCAGCAGCTATGGGAGGCCCGTAATCTGCCAGCACCCTATGTCAAAAAATTCAACACACCAGCAGTGTGTGAGGAGACCTGAAAGTGGCACATGGCAGAGTGTGGCGATGGAGACAGCAGCAATGGGAGGCCGTACAGGGACCCATGAGAGACTCTGGACCTGGCAGCAGCATGAGGAGGCGGTATATAGGGGCCCATGGCAGATTAGGGGCCTGGCAGCAGCTATGGGAGGCCCGTAATCTGCCAGCACCCTATGTCAAAAAATTCAACACACACAGCAGTGTGTGAGGAGACCTGAAAGTGGCACATGGCAGAGTGTGGCGATGGAGACAGCAGCAATGGGAGGCCGTACAGGGACCCATGAGAGACTCTGGACCTGGCAGCAGCAGCATGAGGAGGCGGTATATAGGGGCCCATGGCAGATTAGGGGCCTGGCAGCAGCTATGGGAGGCCCGTAATCTGCCAGCACCCTATGTCAAAAAAATCAACACACCAGCAGTGTGAGGAGACCTGAAAGTGGCACATGGCAGAGTGTGGCGATGGAGACAGCAGCAATGGGAGGGAGGCGTTACAGGGACCCATGAGAGACTCTGGACTTGGCAGCAGCATGAGGAGGCGGTATATAGGGGGCCTATGGCAGATTAGGGGCCTGGCAGCAGCTATAGGGAGGCCCGTAATCTGCCAGCACCCTATGTCAAAAAATTCAACACACCAGCAGTGTGTGAGGAGACCTGAAAGTGGCACATGGCAGAGAGTGTGGCGATGGAGACAGCAGCAATGGGAGGCCGTACAGGGACCCATGAGAGACTCTGACTTGGCAGCAGCATGAGGAGGCGGGGTATATAGGGGCCCATGGCAGATTAGGGGCCTGGCAGCAGCTATGGGAGGCCCGTAATCTGCCCGTAATCTGCCAGCACCCTATGTCAAAAAATTCAACACACCAGCAGTGTGTGAGGAGACCTGAAAGTGGCACATGGCAGAGTGTGGCGATGGAGACAGCAGCAATGGGAGGCCGTACAGGGACCCATGAGAGACTCTGGACCTGGCAGCAGCATGAGGAGGCGGTATATAGGGGCCCATGGCAGATTAGGGGCCTGGCAGCAGCTATGGGAGGCCCGTAATCTGCCAGCACCCTATGTCAAAAAATTCAACACACCAGCAGTGTGTGAGGAGACCTGAAAGTGGCACATGGCAGAGTGTGGCGATGGAGACAGCAGCAATGGGAGGCCGTACAGGGACCCATGAGAGACTCTGGACCTGGCAGCAGCATGAGGAGGCGGTATATAGGGGCCCCATGGCAGATTAGGGGCCTGGCAGCAGCTATATGGGGGCCCGTAATCTGCCACCCTATGTCAAAAAATTCAACACACCAGCAGTGTGAGGAGACCTGAAAGTGGCACATGGCAGAGTGTGGCGATGGAGACAGCAGCAATGGGAGGCCGTACAGGGACCCATGAGAGACTCTGGACTTGGCAGCAGCATGAGGAGGCGGTATATATATAGGGGCCCATGGCAGATTAGGGGCCTGGCAGCAGCTATGGGAGGCCCGTAATCTGCCAGCACCCTATGTCAAAAAAAAAATTCAACACACCAGCAGTGTGTGAGGAGACCTGAAAGTGGCACATGGCAGAGTGTGGCGATGGAGACAGCAGCAATGGGAGGCCGTACAGGGACCCATGAGAGACTCTGGACCTGGCAGCAGCATGAGGAGGCGGTATATAGGGGGGCCCATGGCAGATTAGGGGCCTGGCAGCAGGCAGCAGCTATGGGGCCCGTAATCTGCCAGCACCCTATGTCAAAAAATTCAACACACCAGCAGTGTGTGAGGAGACCTGAAAGTGTGGCACATGGCAGAGTGTGGCGATGGAGAGACAGCAGCAATGGGAGGCCGTACAGGGACCCATGAGAGACTCTGGACCTGGCAGCAGCAGCATGAGGAGGCGGTATATAGGGGCCCATGGCAGATTAGGGGCCTGGCAGCAGCTATGGGAGGCCCGTAATCTGCCAGCACCCTATGTCAAAAAATTCAACACACCAGCAGTGTGTGAGGAGACCTGAAAGTGGCACATGGCAGAGTGTGGCGATGGAGACAGCAGCAATGGGAGGCCGTACAGGGACCCATGAGAGACTCTGGACCTGGCAGCAGCATGAGGAGGCGGGTATATATAGGGGCCCATGGCAGATTAGGGGCCTGGCAGCAGCTATGGGAGGCCCGTAATCTGCCAGCACCCTATGTCAAAAAATTCAACACACCCGCAGTGTGTGAGGAGACCTGAAAGTGGCACATGGCAGAGTGTGGCGATGGAGACAGCAGCAATGGGAGGCCGTACAGGGACCCATGAGAGACTCTGGACCTGGCAGCAGCATGAGGAGGCGGTATATAGGGGCCCATGGCAGATTAGGGGCCTGGCAGCAGCTATGGAGGCCCGTAATCTGCCAGCACCCTATGTCAAAAAATTCAACACACCAGCAGTGTGTGAGGAGACCTGAAAGTGGCACATGGCAGAGTGTGGCGATGGAGGAGACAGCAGCAATGGGAGGCCGTACAGGGACCCATGAGAGACTCTGGACCTGGCAGCAGCATGAGGAGGCGGTATATAGGGGCCCATGGCAGATTAGGGGCCTGGCAGCAGCTATGGGAGGCCCGTAATCTGCCAGCACCCTATGTCAAAAAATTCAACACACCAGCAGTGTGTGAGGAGACCTGAAAGTGGCACATGGCAGAGTGTGGCGATGGAGACAGCAGCAATGGGAGGCCGTACAGGGACCCATGAGAGACTCTGGACTTGGCAGCAGCATGAGGAGGCGGTATATAGGGGCCCATGGCAGATTAGGGGCCTGGCAGCAGCTATGGGGAGGCCCGTAATCTGCCAGCACCCTATGTCAAAAAATTCAACACACCAGCAGTGTGTGAGGAGACCTGAAAGTGGCACATGGCAGAGTGTGGCGATGGAGACAGCAGCAATGGGAGGCCGTACAGGGACCCATGAGAGACTCTGGACCTGGCAGCAGCATGAGGAGGCGGTATATAGGGGCCCATGGCAGATTAGGGGCCTGGCAGCAGCAGCTATGGGAGGCCCGTAATCTGCCAGCACCCTATGTCAAAAAAAAAATTCAACACACCAGCAGTGTGTGAGGAGACCTGAAAGTGGCACATGGCAGAGTGTGGCGATGGAGACAGCAGCAATGGGAGGCCGTACAGGGACCCATGAGAGACTCTGGACCTGGCAGCAGCATGAGGAGGCGGTATATAGGGGCCCATGGCAGATTAGGGGCCTGGCAGCAGCTATGGGAGGCCCGTAATCTGCCAGCACCCTATGTCAAAAAATTCAACACACCAGCAGTGTGAGGAGACCTGAAAGTGGCACATGGCAGAGTGTGGCGATGGAGACAGCAGCAATGGGAGGCCGTACAGGGACCCATGAGAGACTCTGGACTTGGCAGCAGCATGAGGAGGCGGTATATAGGGGCCCATGGCAGATTAGGGGCCTGGCAGCAGCTATGGAGGCCCGTAATCTGCCAGCACCCTATGTCAAAAAATTCAACACACCACAGCAGTGTGAGGAGACCTGAAAGTGGCACATGGCAGAGTGTGGCGATGGAGACAGCAGCAATGGGAGGCCGTACAGGGACCCATGAGAGACTCTGGACTTGGCAGCAGCAGAGGAGGCGGGGGGCGGTATATAGGGGCCCATGCAGCAGATTAGGGGCCTGGCAGCAGCTATGGAGGCCCGTAATCTGCCAGCACCCTATGTCAAAAAAATTCAACACACCAGCAGTGTGAGGAGACCTGAAAGTGGCATGGCATGGCAGAGTGTGGCGATGGAGACAGCAGCAATGGGAGGCCGTACAGGGACCCATGAGAGACTCTGGACCTGGCAGCAGCATGAGGAGGCGGTATATAGGGGCCCATGGCAGATTAGGGGCCTGGCAGCAGCTATGGGGCCCCGTAATCTGCCAGCACCCTATGTCAAAAAATTCAACACACCAGCAGTGTGTGGAGACCTGAGACCTGAAAGTGGCACATGGCAGAGTGTGGCGATGGAGACAGCAGCAATGGGAGGCCGTACAGGGACCCATGAGAGACTCTGGACTTGGCTGGCAGCAGCATGAGGAGGCGGTATATAGGGGCCCATGGCAGATTAGGGGCCTGGCAGCAGCTATGGGAGGCCCGTAATCTGCCAAGCACCCTATGTGTCAAAAAATTCAACACACCAGCAGTGTGTGAGGAGACCTGAAAGTGGCACATGGCAGAGTGTGGCGATGGAGACAGCAGCAATGGGAGGCCGTACAGGGACCCATGAGAGACTCTGGACCTGGCAGCAGCATGAGGAGGCGGGTATATATAGGGGCCCATGGCAGATTAGGGGCCTGGCAGCAGCTATGGGAGGCCCGTAATCTGCCAGCACCCTATGTCAAAAAATTCAACACACACCAGCAGTGTGTGAGGAGACCTGAAAGTGTGGCACATGGCAGAGTGTGGCGATGGAGACAGCAGCAATGGGAGGCCGTACAGGGACCCATGAGAGACTC